ACATTACCCAATGCAGTTTACACTCCAATAATATTAGGCTTGCGAGGTACATATTGGAGAATATAATTTTTAAGACGATATTCTCATTGACCCAATTTTAGTTTGAACTACACGAAACGAACAAATCTCATCAACCACCGACCACAAGTCTTGCTGAATTTAATTATTTCTTAAATATAGAATTATTAGTGACTGAATCATTATATCGGTACATAACAAGTAAAAGCTCGACTTACCAACTTTTCCTTTATTTAAAATAAGTGACTAAGAATCTTCGAAACATAGATTATACCACCAAATCACTAAACATGCTCAGTCTCCTTAATGAAACTACGAAGATGCCTGAACATTGACTGCGAATAATTATCTTTTCATAAATGCTCTGAAGTTTAGTTATAAGTCACGTTTGTATGCATTTATTGGTGCATTCATTCACAGCGTAACTGTTATATAAAAAATTTTTGTTTTCATTTGTATACTTATACTTCATTCCGAACAATAACATACATGAAATAAACACAAAAAATAATGCAACAATGTAAGAAATGAATATTAATACAACACACAATGAAAAATAAAAATGTGTCACACGATGAATTTCAATAAGAGTTTGACACCAAACTTTCAATCGAAACTTGAACTATATATGTAAAGTATTGGCTTATGCACACACCTGCGTAGAATTTCATTCACTTACATTTGTGTGCATATAGCTATAGTGTACCCCGAAGGCGCATTGTTTTCGACTTAGAATAAGATATCCATCAGTTCAAATATCAGAGCTTGATCTTTTTGTAGTTTAAAGGTGTCCAATTTGTCATTTGCAGGCCTCTTTTGATTAGAATATTATTCATAAAAGCCTAATATACCTAATACATATATAGTAAAACGCCTAATGTCCACCGATGCCGTATCGAATTCCATGGTAGCAGTATTGTGCCTGAGATTACTACCCACGCGTTAAAGTTTCTTGGACAGACTATGGTTCCACATGCGAAGCGTGGAAAGGCTGCCGCCGCGCGCGATACGTCGACTACTGATAAACACAAGCTGGAATATGGTCTTAAAGTTGTCGACAAGGACACTAAAAACGACATGATCAACCTCATCGCCTGCATATTGTGCGTCGCGTACGGTGTCGAGGAAAAGTTGGGGATAAATGCGGAATACCGTTTGCAAGAAGACGTTTGTCTTTCAGTTCCGTCCGGAAACTATAGGTCGCACCTCGCTCTGCAGCACTCGGCCTATTTGGCGGAATATTAAATCAACTTCGACTCTGACAAGTCTGCCTTCTTCGACGTTGATATCCCGTTTGTCAATACCAACATATCGAATATGAATCTGGAGAGAGACCACATCACCTACCGTATTGATAACTGGTCATTGACGTCGTCATTGGAGAAATGCTGTGGGATTCCGAGGACGTTAAAAGCGCTCACGTTCAATAATGCGATGCGCATTTCCACCCGTGAATAGCCATCAGGTAACTACGCGGTTACCATTAAGACGCCTATGGAATATGGGCTAGATATATAAGCCATCGGCATCGGTATCAGCATGAAGCAGACCACCCTGGCAATTCAAGCTGCCAAGTAGGTGGCCAATGTGTTCAATCTTGCCAGCATGAATCGATCCAAGGTTGTCGCGTTTGTCCGCGTGTAATTTACCGCCAACCAATAAACTATTGCCAGCGTTCTCAGATCGGTCTGGGCATTTTTGATCACTCTGGACGCATCTACTATTAAAGGCACATCCGATGTTGACATTCGAGTTCGGTTTGTTTGGCAACGCGAGCTCTCTAACTTGCACGTCATATCCGTCTCATTATTCAGTTCGCACACCGATGTCGCTCATTTTGAGATGCTCTGCAAGCTGTTCGACGCCCGCATCCCTAACTGGAAGTAGCAGTTGATCAGCGCCTCCTCGGATGGAGCGCCAAACATTACAGGCGCGATATCTGGTGTCATCGCTTGCCTGCAGCATGCTATCTTGGAAGGTTTTATTGCGCATGGTGTCTGCTGGAACAGCTCGACATTCCGCTGCCAACAGCGCATCATAAACTCGATCAGGATCGGTGGTGGTCGACGCTCGTCGAAATTATTTCAAATTTACGGAGGCAGCAGACTCTTGCTGCTGAAATGGGCTCAGTTTGTCCCGAGACGTTGGTTGCGCGTTGGAACGCCATGTTCTCCGCCACATCCTGTATTACAGAATATCTACACGATATTATGGCGTACTACGAAGATATAACTGCTGCACATCGTGGCAGTGGGCCAACAATCATTTTATAGTGGGTCCTCTGATCGGTCACTGCATCGATGCATCAAAAGCGCTATCCACACGGTGGTGATGCGGCCGCTAGGACACTACCTGACACTAAGCCAACGATAATTTATAATACAGCAGTTGGTAGTCGAGTTGATGCCCACCATCGGCATGGAAAGGCGTATCGGAGTTTTTCCTGACCTGGGCGCCAACCTGCACGCTATTCGATTCGATTGCGCGGCCAGGTACTTCAACACAACTGCGTTCGTTTAAAACCTCGGGCATGTCAAAATGATGCGGCTAGCCGCTCTCGACGATCAGACGCGCGCGACGCTACTATAAGATATCGCGTCGTTTATATTTGGCATTGTCGGAGGGTTTCTCGGATGCGTTGCGCTACGGGATAGCCGCCAAGACGGCCTCAACTATTTCGCACCACCGACTCATCCGTTTGATCTGGTCTGCCTCCAGGTAGCGACATCGCGTTGCTTGTCGGGCAGCATAAGGATCGACTAGACGCTTCGTGGAAGCCAGCCGACATCGACAAGACCGGTGCCCAATTCGGGCGCTCTGCACTGCTTATCGCACCGACATATCACTGCAGTCGGCAATCGATGCCTGCGACCACACGTGTTCATTCGACAGCGCATGGGCTAAACAGGGTACATGCGGCCGCTCCAACCAGATTGTCCGCTTTGTGGGCGGCCCGACGTCGCCGGTTATAATACGGCACCGGTTGAGAGTGACTTCTTCATCCTAAAGTTCCGTAAATTTGCTTTTAACAAGTCACTGACTGACTTTTCTCTTGAAGGATTCTTGCAGTGCAAGCAGTACGACATTCTGATGCGTTTAAAACAGTAAGGCGCGTTTGCAAAACTCATTTTTATCATAACGCCTTATCTGCCTATTTTGTATTTGGTGCCTGATTTCATTTTTATTAGGCAGATCATTTTTGAAAAGATAATCTAAAGAGGCCTGGTCATCTGCATCATTGATCACTTATTTTCATTCGTAAACTATGCTGCTTATCCGTTGTTGTTGCTAAAAGACACAGATATTGGAAGCGGTCATCACTATATGTGTAAACGTACAGAGACGAATTATGTCTAATGTGTCGAATAACAAAATGTAAGCATATTGCACATCATGTAAGATCCATATCTTACACAATGCACAATGTGTAACGGGGCACCGACGACTACGTACTGGTCAACCAGTACGGAGTTCACTTCCACTGACAACAGTGATAGTCAGTGCCCTGCTAAGTGTTGCACCAACACAGAGGAAGGAAAGGAGACTAAGTGAGCACTCTAGTCTCTGGTAAAAGTCAAGCAGTTATTTAGTATGATTAAGTCCTATCAACCTTATGTCTCTGTTTATCTTGATTTAATTATATTAATCTAACGAAACGTATGATGACGTCTACTCACCACCCATTGCGCGCGTCTAGCAGCGATTGGTGGGTTGATGTCATCACAATATCATCCAATGAGTAGACCCTTCAGTCATCTCAACAATATCATCATGCTCTGTGATATTGTTGAAAGAATATTCAACGTAATATTCTTTATTGTCACTTTATCCTTAGTGGCAATATCATGTAACGGGCTACCCCGTGACAGTTCTAAATACATAAAAACTGACACCGACGGTAAGACTCTTGTGTGCATCTACGTGGACGACGTGCTGGCGACTGGAATTTATGTGAAGAAGGGTGACGACTTATTTGAGAGCGTGCAAGTCGTGGAGTTAGATGATCTTGGCATGGTGACTAAGTTCCTTGGAATACCGTTCGATTACAGTGACAAGAACGAATGGGAAAGAGATCAAGTAAACACCATCGACGAGATGCTCGACAAATTTGGACTTAAAGATTTCGTTGTAGCCAGGGTGAAGATAAACGGAGTATACAATGGTGATGAATGTACTTGCCGCCTTCTGGTGGCATCGGCCATCCACATAAATTTCCGACGCAGATTTTATAACTTTTGGTGGGCAGTTTGCTATAAAAACGTCTGATGCACACGCCTAGACATCGCATTTTTATTGCACTGAGTGACTCGGCGTTCTCAAGCGCCAAATAAATTGGATTGGCGTACGGCAAAGAAGAAAGTCGAGTAATTTACGGGCACGAGGGACTCAATTTTATAATGTAAAAAAGATGACGCAATTAAGTACGGCGGCGTGCTGGTAGAAGAATTCAGCGATGCGGACTACTCTGCAGACGAAACTGACAGAAAGTTGATTAGTGGTGGCGTGATGACGGTGAAAGGAATGGTAGAAAGACGGCAATGTCGTTTGCGGGTCACTACAGTGACAACGTGTCCCGCATACCAGCTTATGATTTAGAGTAGTGGCCTCAGCTCTCTCCAGCAGAATTATAAAATCATACGGCGATGAAAAGTCTGTTGAAGATCGATAAGGTTGCATGAGCTTAGACGCTGCACAGAGAGTCAGTGAGTGTCCACGTCTTGATGTATGATAAAGGAAAGATGAAGCGACGCACCAGACAGCCACGACTGACGGAAAGAGGCGACTGACGACAGGAGGCAACTGATGGAATGAGGCGACTGGTGGCTAGAGACAACTGATGGCAAAAGGCGACTGATAAAAGGAGTCACAAGAAAGTTTTAAGTAACGTTTCGAATCGAGTTCTGCAGGCTAAGTCGTCTAATACGTTTTTTAGTTCCCATTCTACCATCTACGGGTCAAGTTACCGCCAAAAAATAAAGGTTATGAACCCAATTTTGGGCTTTCCAATAGTCGACGACTCGACCCGAGCTTCTGCAGCACCCGGCCGCAAAAGAGACGTGCAAATTCCAGCTGTCGTCGGCAACTCCCAAGCCCACGAAAGGGGTGCGGGCACAGATGAAAGGGTCTTCACGATGCTCCAGCCTCTCGCGGATTGCATGCAGGCGCTCGAGACGTCGAAGATGCAGGTCGACGAAAAAGAGCGGCTGCGAGGAGCGATCAATACGAGTTTCTACGCATCGGACCTTGGTCGCGGCATGGGCGGCGCTCTAACACATGGGATGGACTTGGCTACGACGCGCCTCGACCAGCACGCGGACGAGCTCGTGGCGCAGTTAAGGAGATCGCTCTTCGAACCGTTCGGGCCGCAACGAGGCGGCAGATAGCAGCAAGCTCGGCAACAAGCGCCGCTCTATGAGTCTACGCCGGCTCATGAGTATGAGCACGTGCCAGCACCGCCAGTGCAACCAGCGCCGATACAAGGAATGTCAATGCGCACGCCGGACGCACGACAACGCTAGCTCGCCATTAGAAAGTTCGATGGGAGTGAGCTGTACCAAGGCCTCGGCTCAGGATTCTCGGATTGGGGAAGAATGTTCCTCCGACAAGTCTCGATAGCGCAGCAAACGTATGGCTTCGCGTGGGCGGAAGCCGTCAAAGTTGATCTAATGAGACAATATTGGCGAGCACGGCTGAACGCCATTACCAAAAACAAGTAGACAACTGGTGGCTCAAGGAAGCGACACTTGATCACGCGATAGTTCGGCTGTTGAACACATTCAAGACGCCAATCACGGCGTCGCAAAGTATGAAGCTTTTCAACACACGAAAGGTTCTGAAGCGGCCATGGCCAAAACACTCTCTTTTCTTGGTCGCTGTTTGCGACGCGTGCGGTGGTGGCGCCGAGGTACAAGTACTGTACAATATCGTCCACTACGCGTCGAGTGAACTCAGCACCGTTTTGGTGGCAAGGTACAACAACGGGAGGTACAACCACTTGTTCCAAGCGGAAGATCTGGCGCGATTTGCACAAGTTGTCGAGATTGAGAACAAGGCGGGACGGACCCTCGGTCGTGAGGTCGTCGCAGCGGTATCGGACACTGAGACGACGAAGGAGACTCGCACGTGGTTTAAATGCGTAAAGAAAGGTCAGCTAACGGTCGACTGCAGATCAAAGAAGAAAGTCAAGGAAAACGACGATGATAGCGGCGTTGATGACGAGGTAATTCTGGCCGTGCAAGACAGCAGCAGCAACGTACAAAACGACTGGATCTTGTACAGCGGAGCTAGCCTTCATCTCGTCAATGATGAGCGAATGCTGCTGAATGCGAAGTACTGCAGCGACGAGGTCTCCCTCGCCCATGACGCGAAGCTTGTGCTGAAAACATTCGGCGACGTGCGGCTCTTTGTCATTGCTGACGGCAAGGAGAGCACTGTACTGCTCACAAACGTGCACTTTGCGTCGAGCCTCGCGCGCAACATCGTGAGCTACAGAAATATCGATGCGAGCGGGTATACGCTCTCGTAAATGAATGGGAAACGCATCGTATTGCGTCGCATTGACGCACTCGCTGTGTTTGACGTGGTGATCCGGAACAGCGTCTTCGTCGTCAGAACAGTCGGCATGCTCGCGAGAACGTAAGATCCAGTCGACGTGATCATGGCTGCGCTTCAGGAGGAGCTTGCGGCCGACACGTCACCAGTGATGCACCGAGGATCGCTGCTTCACTTCCACCAGCGCTTGGGACATCTCTATTTCGACACGATCGAGAAGATCGCTGAGAACCCGTCGTCGGGCATTGAGCTCACGGACCATAAGGGCATGACGTGTACCGCCTGCGCGCAGAACAAACAAACCGAGAACAAGCAGAGTCAGAAAGATTCGGGTCGAAACGCTCCAATCGATCGCATCGGCGGTATTATTTGTTCTGATCTCAAAGGACCTCTAATGCCTGCTGATCGATGGCAAAACCAGTATCTGATCAATTTTACTGATTGTAAGAAAGATATTGTCGCGTTTTCTTGGCGCCAACGAAAGACGCCGCCGAGAGAAAGTTTGAACATTTTTTTGCGTTCTTCGAACGACAGTTCGAGTGTCGTATTGCCGTCCTCAGGACTGACGGAGGTAGGGAGTACCAGAACGTAGACCTCTTCTGCGAATCCACAGGCGTCGCGAGGCAAGTGAGTGAGGTAAATAATCAATTTTCCAACGGCAAAGCAGAACAGATGCATCGAACGATACTAAACATAACAAGAGCGATGATCTTCGCGTGTGGGCTACCTCTCACGTTTTGGGGTGATGCAGCAGAGCACTCGACCTGCATCCTTAACAGAAGTCCCACCAACTCTAAACCGAAGCGCGCATCGCCACTCGAGGTTTTGACGGGACAAGAGCCGAACTTGAGATACATCGTCGTCTTCGGGTTCTACTGCACCATGTACCACAACCCTTCAAAAACAACTTCGCGCATTGCGCGCCGGTCGGCTCTATCCTCGGATGCGGCAATAAGACGAGGGGTTTCGAGTATATCCCAAGAAGGACAAGAAGGTAATCACCACTCAGCACGTGCCGAACGTCGAGACACTGACTGAAGCACATAACCGGCAGCTTCAACTCGAGCTCGATGACGATAATCGAGCAGACGCTGACGAAGGCGCGCAAGAGCATCTGAAGCTGCAGTAGACCAGCAAGTCGAAGCAAAAGATTCTGAGGACTCGCCAGCCGCATGCGACGCGAGGAGCCACGAAGAAGGCTGCGTCGAGCCAGGTCGAATCACCAAGCACGGGCGGCACGGCCGCTCACGTCTTTGAACAAGATCCTTGTCACTATGCTGAAGCCATGAACATCGTGAAGAGTCAGGAGTGGCAGTATGCTATGAGCGAGGAGATCGCCGCTCTCGAGGCGAACGACGTATGGACCCTGTCGCGACACCTGAGCCGCAGCAACGTGTTGCACAGCAAATGGGTCTATAACACAAAGACCACTGCTGATGGCAAGCTGGAGCAAAACAAGGCACGTTTAGTGGAATGCAGAAATGAGCGAAGGATTGGCGTGGATTACGCGATCACGTTCGCCGACGTCATGGATATGATGACGGTGAAAATAACCCTTGCTCTCGCTGCAACTTGGGGCGTTCCCGCCAAATATGGTTACGTGCCGAATGCCTATGTAAAGGAAGAGAAAGGGCAGTATCTGAAGATCCTGATGCATGTATCAAAGTGCTTGACGATCGGCAAGGACAAGCTAAAGGAACTCAGAGTGGACAGCGACGACGAAGTCGTGCTCGAGCTCGAGAAGGGAGTGTATGGGTTAAACCAGGCGAGACGGCTATGGAGCTAGATGCTCCACATACGTCTTCAAGAGGCGGAATTTACGCGCTGCATCATCAACATGTGCTTGTACTATAGGCGCGATGAGGCCGGCGTGGTGATCGTCGGCGTCTATGTCGATGATCTTCTGGTGACCAAAACGACAAGCGAAGAAGTCGAAGCGGTCTTTGCAAGCCTACGGTGCTTATAAATCAAGAACCCTGGGCCGGTGACAAAGTTTCTGGGCATGCGTTTGAAGCACACCAACGATCGCGAGTACCTGCTGAATTAGGAGGAGGCGTTTCTCGACATCCTACAGCAACACGGGACGCTTAAGGCAAATGCGGCGCGCGCCAATAAAAGCAGACTATTGCGACGCAGTAAGCGTGGAGAGCGATCTGCTGCCGATCACGAGTGCGCCAGGGCAGTCTAACGTCCGCAAGTTTCAGTAGCTTGTGTGTTTGTTGCTCTGGGTCGCCAGATGCACGATACCCGACATCGCTTTTGCGGTACAAAAGGTCAGGTGGCAGACGCACGCGCCGCGCACGCAAGACTGGAAGCTCGCGAAGCGCATTGTACGCTATTTTAGCGGCACACGTGCACTTAAGATCCGGATGATAGCGATAGCGCAAGCGGGCGCACATACAACGCTCGTAAGCTACAGCAACGCCGACTATGCATAAGACAAGTCGTATCCGAAGTCTTTGAGCGGCTGTGTGGTGCTACTCAATGACATGGTGGTAAGCTGGTGGTCAAAGAATCAAGTCGGCGTATCGCTGAGCACAATGGAGTCAGAGCTCGTCGCGGCTTCAAAAGCCGGACGCGAGCTGCTCGGCATACGCTAGACACTAACCAGGATCGGCGTGATGCGATACTGTTGTTCACGACGCACATTGACAACCAGGCGGCAATTTTGCAGATAAGAGGGGGCCTACATCGACGAAAGCGAAGCTTATCGATGTTGGTGTCAAGTACTTGTGCAACCAAGCACGACGTGGCATTGTGGCGCCTGTCTACGTGAGGAGCGAGCTTATAACCGCTGACGTCTAACAAAAGCATTTGACGCGAGCAGGTTGGTCGAGTTGCGGACGCTACTGCACATCGCGTAGCAAGGTCGTGGATGAAGCTTGAAAGTCGTCGACAAGAAGAGTGCTAAAGATCGATGGTGTTGCATGAGCTTAGACACTACACATAGAGCCAGTGAGTGTCCACGTCTTGATGCATGACGAAGAAAAAATGAAGCGACGCACCAGACAGCCACGACTGATGGCAAGAGGCGACTAATGGAAAGAGGCGATTGATAGAATGAGGCATGAGAGAGTTTTGGGTAACGTTCCGAATCGAGTTCTGCAGGCTAAGTCTTCTAGCACGTTTTTCAGTTCCCATTCTACCACCTACTGCGCAAGTTACCGCCGGAAAATAACAAAGTCTTCTTGCAACGCCGCCAAGAAGGCAGCTTGTACGCTGAAAAGTTTTACCTCTTTTTTTCAACACGCACATATACCAATTTCCTTGAGTCAAGTCGACTATTGTCCATCTCCTTAGTCATGGCGCCGCGGATGCTTTTAAAACTTGGTTTCTACTGCTCGAGTGAATACAAGAAGCATAAGTATGTCTCTCTTCTAGCAATGTAAGCTGAGTTTGTGACGTCTTCACGAAACGCTGCGGTTAATATTGTTAATATTGAACTGCTATAGGAGATTGACGTGTTGCTTAAGCCTAGTTGAATATTGCACGTCGACAATCAAGCAGCCTTCGCTCCGATCAAGGCCGAGGTCACCTCCGGTCGGGCGGAGCACATCGATGTGCGATTCAAATTTGTATAATTTTTAGATATTGAAGACCCGTAAAGGCCATACTGCGAATCTAAGAGTATTAGTGCGGAAACTGACTACGAACATCCCAGCACCACTAATTAGCCAGCTGAACGGACTTGCGATAAATACAGGTAAGTATGGTCCTATAAGAAGGAGTGTTTAGATTATACGACTAAAGATATTGAATGAATGCGACTCGTGGTGTTGAAAAATCACGATTTTTGACGTAAAAGAGCGTGGCTGATAAAGGTTTTCGACCA